GGGTCTCCTGAGTAACGGCACCCGAACGCAGGAGCCGTCCGTCGATTGCCTCCACCTGTACCAGTTCTGGCTTGTTCTGAAGTGGCACGCGATGATGGGCAGCAAAAGCAGCGTCCATATAGGAGCGGGTTGCCCCCGAATCCACCAGAGCATGGGTAAGAATCCAGGGCCCACCTGGAGGGTATAGACGTACCGGAACCATAAGGTGTTGCAATTCAACTGGTGCGGCCCCATTCTGTGCTGTTTGGGACCCCAGGTAGCCAGGGCCATCAGCTACTGGGGTTGGCGGTTTCCCCTGTGGCTGGCGCTTCTCAGGACAGGACCGGGCGTAGTGTCCGTTTCCGCCACAATAGAGACATAGATTCCCCTCCCGACGCCGCGACTTCTCTGCGGGGGAGAGGCATGGCCGCACTGCCCCAAGCTGCATAGGTTCCTCCAATGACTCAGCTGGGCCTGTGGGGCTGCTGGTAGACACTGGAGCCGAGAACTGGAGGTGCCGGCGGCCCCGAGCCTGACGCCGGTCCTCTAGCCGATCGTCTATCTGTAGACTCCGTTGAATGAGGGTGTCTAGCGTGGTGGGGCGTTCCATTGTGGCCAGCTGGTCCAGTATCTCATCTGAAAGCCCCTCGAGATACTGGTCCCGAAGAGCCGAGTCGTTCCAGGTCAAGTCCTGTGCCAGCAGCCGGAATTCCGTGGTGTATACGGCCACCGTGGACTTGCCCTGTCTCAACCGCCAAATCGCCCGGTTGGCTTGACTCCCCTTCTGGGGGTTGCCGAACGCGGCCTCCAACAGATTGCAAAACCCCACGTAGTCTGCCAGCAAGGGGGAGTCTTGCCTGAGCAGCGGCAACGCCCACTTGGCCGCCTGGTCCTTTAACAAACTAATCAAAAAATGCACCTTGGTGTGGTCGTCAGGGAAGTTCCGGGCGCGCCCCTGAATATACAGCTTGGCCTGGGCAAGGAACATGGGAAAGCTGGCCGGGGCCCCATCAAATTTCTCAGGCAAGGCCACTGGGTACTTGCCAGAAGCCGGGGCGTCGGCCCCAGGAGCCGGTAGGACGTCCAAACGCTGCTGTAGTGCCGTAACCGCATTACTGAGCTGCTGCACGGTGTGCCTCAAGGCCTGGTTCTCCTGGGCTATTGCCAACAGTGTAGCCGCTTGGTCGGCCATGGCCTCTGACTCTTCCCGAACGCACCCCAACAAAGAGGGAGTGCGGGTGTGGCGGGAGCAAACTGTGCTGGTCCCAGGGGGGATAAGGTACTATTACCGTAGCCCAAGATCAGTCCAGAGTCTCTAGCAGGGTAGACGATCACTAGATGAGACGCGAGGTCCGAGACAGGGAGCCGGGCGGGGTAACAGGAACGCTGGTAGGGCAGAAGCAGGAGTCCAGGCGAGGAACAGGAACACTGGTAGGGCAGAAGCAGGAGTCCAGGCGAGGAACAGGAACACCGGATAGTCAGGAACAGGAAGCCGGGCGAGGAACAGGCACACTGGGAGTGCAGATCAAGGACTGGGTAAAGCAGGTACTCCACAACGACGTTGCTCCCGCAACCTGGGACCGGGCTGCCTGACCTTTATCTTCTTCTAAGGCCGGGGGCGGTCCCGGCCCCCAGAAGCCCCACCTCTCTTGGCCTTAAGGCGAGCACTCCTCCTGGGAGACACCAGTTCCCTTCGCCTCTCTGCCCTAAGCCTCTGCAGATCAGGAGAGGCCGAAGGGTTACTGGGCCCCGGGGGAGGCTCACCTGTAGACACTGAGTCTTCCAGCACCTCTGGGGCCAGAATGGTTTCACCTGGTGCCTGCTCTTGAGGTTCCTCAGCATCTAGGCCTTGCCCCAGTTCAGCCGGCCCTGGAGGCGGGGACTCCTGTGCCGGCTGGGATTCCTCCGGATCGCTCTCAGACTCGGAATCCCAGGCCATCACACTTACAACATCTAGTTTTCTCCTTTGCTTGGTTATAGAAAAGTGTCTGATTACTCATTTATTTTTATCATTTATAATTTTAATGACTACTACATCTTTCAGTAAATGTGTTACAGTTTGTTTTGAGTAGCAGTCCAATCCATTTTCTGATTCAAGTCAGCTCAAGGTTCCATGGCACACTGGTTGAAAACCTAGGCCTCACACCATCATAATGGTCGCCCCTTCCCCATCTTTGGTAGCTAATAATGTGAAGTGGAGTGTTGAAATGACATAATGAGTATTATGACATCACAAACATAGCATAAGTGTATCTGTACATTTTGAATGCAGTTCCTATAAATTCGCTCAGATTTTTGTGCTTTGGGAACAATTTAATTTCTTGTAAGATCCAACTTCCACTTAAATTGAGTGTTCTAAATTACTTCCAGCATGCTTTTTTGTCATCATAGACTCCATTCTATTCTAGCAGAGACATTTATTTTGGCATTTTGGGTGACAGAGTAGTTAAGAACAGTCTTTTGTTTGAAATCAAACCTTATTATGTCTTCTTAGCAAGAAAATATTATAAATTACTTCCTAAACAAGCCTGCTTTTATAGTTTAGGAAGATTGCCAGAACTGTGTTTCAATATGCAAGTCTTCACATGCAGTTAGAATCGAAAACAAACCACTTCCATCTAAGCAAGTTGTACTCACCTTTTCAATTTAAGTGTTGCTAATTAACTTCTACACATATGTTCAGATCAAATTGGTGTGCGTGGTTCACTTTTACACGCTCTAAAACTAGATGTTTTCAAGTGCAAAAGTAAGAACAGCCTCTGCCCCACTTGTTCCTGTCTGGGCATGCCTCCTGTGAGCAAGTGATTCTGTTTACAGTGAATTCTCAGCCAATCTCTGTACCGACTGCTTCATGTGCATTGAGAAATAAATAACATCATTAGTGACTACTGTGCTCCTAAAGTGGGGGGAGCCAACGGTCCCCTCCAGATGTTTTGCACCACAATTCCCATCTGCTCCAGCCGATATAGATAAATGGTCAAGGATATTGGGAGTTGTAGTCCACAATATTTGACGGTGCCACACTGGCCTCCTCTGCCCTAAAGTGCCCACCAAGGCCACCTTTCTGAGAGGGTGCCTTGAGAGTACATGAGCCATTCATCATTTATTTCCCATATTACACTGATCAGCAGGGGCATCATGACCTGTTTTGCCATGCCATCCCAGTGTCCTTTACCTGGGTTGCATGGCAGCGCCCACAAAGTGGCAGCAACAATGGCAGCTTCTGGCGAGATCTTGCTGCTGGCGGTGGAATGCCCCTGGGGGGCTCTGCTTATTGGGCTTTTGCCGCCCGAGGCAGCTGCCTCACCCTGTCCCGTGGATGGCCCAGCCCTGCTCAGCAGTTGTCTTCTGGCACAGAGCTTGGGAATGCTAACCTAATGACTAAAACAAACTCAGATATGTAGATAGGGTGGTAAAGGTAAAGGCAAAGGGACCTCTGACCATTTGGTTCAGTCGTGGCCGACTCTGGGGTTGCGGTGCTCATCTCGCTTTACTGGCCAAGGGAACTGGCGTACAGCTTCCAGGTCATGTGGCCAGCATGACTAAGCTGCTTCTGGCGAACCGGAGCAGTGCACGGAAACTTCCCACCGGAGCGGTACCTATTTATCTACTTGCACTTTGACGTCCTTTCGAACTGCTAGGTTGGCAGGAGCAGGGACCGAGCAACGGGAGCTCACCCCGTCGCAGGGATTCGAACCACCGACCTTCTGATCGGCAAGTCCTAGGCTCTGTGGTTTAACCCACAGCGCCACCCGCGTCCCTGATAGGGTGGTAGTGTAGACTTAAATATTAAATTTAAAAACTCATTAGCAATTTCTTGGTACTACTGAAGGGACAGCAATGGGAAGAGTTAAACATTTGTACAATATCAGCCCTGGGGTGGTGGTATGTTAATCTTATTGTCCTCAGGCCAAGGAACTGGAGACTCTTAGACTATATATTGAATTCCTGACCTGATGTTTAAAAGGAGACAGAAACATGATCTTGGTTATCAGCACAAACTTAATAGTTTATGATTTACTGTGGTAGAAATCACATCAGTATAGAGAAAAAGCACAGGTCTCTAGGCTGCTGGATGAATGCTCTGTACTTTGAATTAAGCCTGAAGTGGGTAAATTCCTCCCACATCACTATGGTGTGAACTGGATGACCCTACATGCCAGTCAAAGTCCACATTGTGCCATGCAACTGTTGCTCTTACGTTCAGGATCAGTAGTTTGTATGGCTCTCGGGGTGATGTGGATGATAGCATTGCATCCAGCTGTTTTGCTTTCATCATTGAATGCATTGCAGCTTTGGACGTTGGGGTATAGGACAGGTCCCTATCTGAGAATGTGCAGAACTCCATGTCAAAATCTTTGGAAATAAGTGCTTTTAACACAGGCTGAATTTAGTTATAATGCCAAGCTATAGTTTAGAACCCAAATCATGGTCTTAGTTTAGAGTACATGAACTCTAGTTTTAGAGCTATGTGTCTTTTTGTTTTCCATTTTTTTGGAATAACTATGACTTGTCAGTTGAGAGAATGGCTGGTGTGTTGAATCTGGCTGTAATCAGCAAAGCTGCTCAATGACATGGATGTTGGATGCCATATTGTACAGTGGTCCCTCGGGTTACGTACCTCTCTGGATACATAATCTTTGGGCTGTGAAAGCGGCAAACCTGGAAGTATTTTTCCGGGTTTCGCCGCTTGCCCAGAAGCCAACTTTATTATGAAATCTTCTGACCTGTCTTGAGAATAGAGTGGATCCTAAGAATACCCAAGCCAGCCACCTGTGGGTATAGAAAGCAGCTCTTTATTACAACTCTCACCTTACACTTCCTGGTATTACCTGAGTGGTATTGTCTGGATGACTATAGTACTGTAGTGAGCTTCTTAAAAAAATAATAAAACTTTGTTTCAAGTGATTTTATTCTGCACTGACTGAAAACATTTTTTGAAAATTCCTTGATTTTCAGATTTCCAGCTTTCATAGCATGGTAGTTCAGTGAGTGATACATTTTTGCCTGTTTCATTGTAGGAATTACGTACCTTGACCACGCAGGCACAGCACTCTTCCCACAGAGTTTACTAAAAGCCTTCACTGATGACCTCAATGAAAATGTTTATGGTAAGGAGAAATCAAACAGGTGGGGTAAATCTTTTCTCCCCCTCTTTGGCATTGTTAAAGTTTCCAGAATTTAAAGCTGGGCTCAAATTTGCGACCTATTGTCATGGTTCCATTCATTGCCAGCAAAAGTGGGGAGTATTTTTTTGTAGCCTTTGGAAAGCTGGCAAAAAATCTATGGGATTGATTGATATCAATGCTGTGCACTGCCACAATCCACTAACTGTGGCTTTATAGTAATGGCCTTCACATGTATTCAACTGATGTGGGTTTCAGTTGCAAAGAAACTTCTTTTAGAATTGTAATTATTTTCACTAAATCTCTTTATAGGAAGCTGCTTGCTTGTTAACTAGTTGCTTTGGGAAACTGTTGTAAAGAGCTTCAAGGCACAGCAGTGAAATATAAAATGAATGTTATATTTAATCACATTTATAGGAGTTTTTTGAGGTAGTGCTTGACAAAAAGATGAAATGTCTTGTTTATGAGTCATGAACGTCTTTCTTGCATCTTAGGGAACCCTCACAGCCAGAATATCAGCAGCAAATTGACAAGTGATACAATTGAACATATCCGATACAGGTAGAGTGGTCTTCATTTTATAAACCCAATGTTGTACATATTTCAAATTTTGCCTTGGGTCTTTAGTTTCACTATAACCACTTCTGTTGCCATTTATTGTATTGCCTCACTGCTAGAAATGCCAAGTTTCAAAGTATCATTAAGTGTGTGTGTGTGTGTGTGTGTGTGTGTATTACTGTATTTTAAGAAGTTGTAATTTATTGTATTTCATAGTATCATAGATTTGTAGAGTTGGAAGATACCCCAAGGGTCATCTAGTCCAACCCCTTGCAATGCAGGAATCTCAGCTAGAGCATCCATGACAGATGGCCATCTAATCTCTGCTTAAAAACCTCCAATTAAGTACAGACCACAACCTCACGAGGGAGTACATTCCGCTATCTAACAGCTCTTGCTGTCAGAAAGTTCTTTCTGATGTTTAGTTGGAATCTCCTTCCTTGTAACTTGAATCCATTGGTTCGTGTCATAACCTCCTGAGTGGGAGAAAACAAACTTGTTCCATGAGACAGCCCTTCAGATATTTGAAGACAGACATCATATCTCCTCTCAGTCTCCCCTTTTCCAGGCTAAACATACCCAGCTCCTTCAACTGTTCCTCATAAGGCTTGGTTTCCAGACCCTTGGTCATTTTTCACCCACCTCTGCACATATTCCAGCTTGTCAATATCCTTCTTAAATTGTGACATCCAGAACTGGACACAGTATTCCAGGTGTGGGCCACACCTTTATTTTAATTTTAATTTTTTTTGTAAAGTGCTCTGGAAACTTTGCTGAGTGGCAGCATGTACATATATTAAATTGTAAAAGTGGTAAATTAAGCTTACCCAAAGTAGATCACTGTTACGATAGAAATGAGTGGATATGATGTTCATTTCAAATAGCTCAGTTTCATGTATGTGTGTGATTTTTAGCCTCTGCTTAGATCACCTATATCTCTTCCTCCCTTTCTGGTATAAACTGAGGGCCAAACGGAGCAAGAAATGACATGTACTGTAAATAGGAATGGAAGAGAATTTTGCTTGGTCTGCAGATTAAAGCAAAGTGACCTAATTTGCAGTTCCTGGACTTGTACATGGATTAGAAAGCAGGTAACAATCACATTATCTAAGTTTTACAATGCAGTTTTGGTTCAAAACCATATAAAATTGTACAAATATATATATATTAGAAGGAAATGAAGAGAAAAGCAAACAAATAGCTCAGGCGGTAGAGCGTGAGACTCTTAATCTCAGGATTGTGGGTTTCAACCCCACATTGGACTAGATGACCCTTGGGTACCTTCCAATTCTACAATTCTATGATTCTATAAAATATGCATTTGGGGGGGTATACATACAGTTCATACGTGGGTTTGTTTTTTTGGTATGGCTTCTTTAAAAAATGAAACCTGTAGAAAATGGGACAGATGCAAAATGGATGGAACAGAAATAGGCTGATCCATCCACTCCTGTCAGTGCACCGTTTCCAAACAATTTTTGTTTTTACTTTAAAGTTCTCATCCCAACTTGCCTCTAGTTGCCAACTAGAACAACCCTTTTACCAATTCCCATATATTTTTGCTTCAAAGTTAAGTCTCCCTAAACTCAGCAGAATTTTTTTTAGGAAGCATTCTTGGAAGCAGAGCCAAAACATATTAAGTAGCAAAAAAGATTGATTAACGTTGGTGCCCTATTTTCCTAGAAGTCATTGCTGGTTTTGAGATGACTCTTCTGTATTGAAATTTCCCTGGTTTTCCTCTGAAATGTTAGCAAAGTCTGTCTCAAAACAGTGTTGTAACTGGTAAAATACATGAAAATCTCATTTGACCTTTAGTACGCAGTAAGAAACATCCGATGCAGTACCTGCTTAGTATTGATTTGTCCTTTTGAAAGGTCACTAACTGGAGACTGTTCAGATGAATGAAACTAGAGCACTCTGCTGTGCTCAGTGCATCTGTTTAAAAGCCCAGAGTCAAAGTTTTGATGGACTGAATTGCTTGTGCTTGTTTAGAGATCTCTTGTAGTTTGCCTAATTAATTCCCTGATCCCATATTTCAATGCAACATATTTGTGTAAACAAATCAGATGCTGCAGAGCATTAGTCAGAACCTCTGGCACAATGCCGTCTCTCTCATCTGGACTGCACTACATTAATGACAGAACGTGGATCTGTGAGGTGCATACTAAAAGCTAGTGTAGCAACTAAGAGAACAAGCTGTGTGTTGGGAGGTTCTGGTTTCTTTGTTTAGAGATTTACACCCTGCCCTTCAACTCAAAGTTTCTCAATGTGGCTTACAAGCTATAGGTAATTATGCACCCATCCACACCCCGTAAACCTCACTCACTCTTTCTCTCAGCAGTCCTTAGTCCTCTGGCTGATGGATGTGGCTACAACACACTTCCCTTCCATTCTGCATTTCCAGGGGGCAACTGGCAGTTGGAGACAAGTGTTCTTTTTGGCAGGGAGGGAGGGAGGGACTCTTTCTCTAACCAGTGGATGTGGCCAAGTTGGTCCACATCTTGTTCTTTGTAGTGTTCTAATCTTATTACAACCAGCAACTCCTAAGGTGAGTGCTCAAGCCCTGCCCTTTCACTTTAAGCCGGTACTTAAAGAAGCAGTGCTGTGACTTGCAGCTGGGTTCCCCAGTGTTGATGAGTGGCTCTCAGCTGTGTGCTTTGTCAGGAGCATCCCAGGAGAAAGGGAGAAAGGCCTTTAACTTCAGTGGGAGGTCAGCATCACTGCATCCCACGGACAGCTTCCTAAGGCCACTCATCGGGCTTATCTTGAGCAGTACATGGACATGTTTAGTGGCTGGGATATCCTGTGTATATTGCAAGATGTGTAATTTTTTTAAAAAAACTGAGTTTCCATTAGTAGAGACGCAGCAAAATACTGTCTGGCATATTTAAGTTAAAACAAGCAAACTTAATAAAAGTTCCCTTTCCTTGGAAGTCCTGAACGTTCTCCTTTTGTGTAGAGCAAAAGAAGGGACAATACAGCCGTCTGGGGTGAACCAAAGCCACAACTTCATTAACTTAACATCAAATAGGTTTATAAACTGGTTGCACGTGAAACGCATTGAGATGGAATCCAACTTGGAAGCTTGTCAACCAAAGCTGAGAGGGAGGGAGTGTGAGGAAGAGGCTGGTGGAAGTTGGATACGGCTGTCCTTTGCCGCTCTTCAGCAGCAGAACTTTGACTTTCCCTCTCTAGATTGAGTGCTGTTTCCCTTAGGGCTTTTAAGGAGAGACTTTGTATTTTGAGGATCATCCCATTTCTTCACAAAGCCCAAGTCCCCCTGCTACCAGCTGCTGGGGCCAGGCAGCATATGGCTTGTCCAGCCCCACTGCCAAACCAAAGCAATGCTCTGTAATCATGGGGGCATGGAGCTGAATGTAATTTCATGTCCCTGCAAGGTGAACAACCCTCTTGAAATAGCTTAGGCTGCCGGACCCTGAAACGAGGCACCATTCTAAGCTGCAGAGCTTTCTGAATTGTCATCTTGCATAAATGAAGTTCCATGGACACTTGGCCCCCCACAAGACATGTTCTACCAGGAAAAGTGAGCAGATTACCTGCATGCCTGGAAACTGCTGGGTATACCCACTGATGATGTTCTTTGCTTGGCAGATGCCATTTCCCCCTTTCCTTTTGCAAAAGTCATTATTGCCTAACTGCACCCCAATTACATCCATTGGGTGTAACACTCTGTTAGCAGTGAGGGATGGGAAATGTGCCCAGCACATGTCATGCTTGCCAGACTGCTGTTTAGCTGTGTGCCTTTTTCTGATGTGATACTCTATTGCCCGGCCCAGTAGTGAAAACAACACTTTTATATAGAAATACAATAAAAAGCTCCTATGCCAGAAAGGTGAGACATGTAGCTGCAGCAAGGGAAGCAATTTCTGATCAGTGCTAGAGCAAATATTCATTTTCATGTTTTTTGCCATCCACTATTTTGTTTTTTTTAAAAATAATATTTTATTAGAGTTTCAAATAATACAAAAAACAAAACAAAACAAAAAAACCAAGAAAAAGAAGAAGAAAAAAGAATTCACCCTTTACAATCCCATTTTCAATAACTTCTTTCCGTAACTTCCCCTCACCTCCCCTTCTTGTATTCCATGTCCAAATATTTATCCAACAAGTTCTTATCCCTAAATTCTTAACCTTACTTTGTTATTATATTTATTATATTATATTTTTAACCTTAATTTGTTATTTATATTTAATTCAATTTATATTAATTCAACTTTTAACTTATATTCCTCAATCATTTACATGTGAAAGCTTTTTCTAAGGTCGACCCAGTTTCCCTTCCACGGATTCCCCATTCTTATATTAATAACAACTCAAAATTAAAAACAGAGTAGAAAAAATCAAACACCCTTTGGATTTCCAAACCCCACCCTCCCTTCCCCGGTTTCGATCCCGAAACCATTGTCCATTAGTCCATCTACTATCAGCCTGGCAACCTCATGTCCAAGGCCCTTAAGTCTCTCTCAATCCCTCTCTGCCGGTTTCTTTGAAAGTCCCTTATAGTTAACACCAAGTCTCGGAGGGGCACTCTCTCTATAATGTCCATGTTCCTTCCAGCCAGACCTCCATGTTTAAAGGTGGAGCTCAAATCTTGTTTCTTAATCCTTTTAAGTCCAAATGTCCCAAGAGCTCCAGCTTCCACCTTGATCAGACTTATACTCCATAGATCTTCAGATCCCCACAAAAGGAGATCTTTCCATTCCTCATTTCTAAGTTCAAACCAAGTTTTCCTCTTCCAGTCCTTATTTTCTTTTATATCCATCTTGACAGGCCTCCGGCTCTCATTTGCCTTCTGCAGCATTGCAGCCCCTCCTTTCTGCTCCTCTTGTTCAGCGTATATCTCTTCCTCTTCTTCCTCAATTTCCTCTAGTTTCTTTTCTTGTTCACCTGCCTGGGTTTTGTAAATCAAGTCCTTTTCCAACTCAGTAGATACATCTGCTGTTGACTTCAAATTTATGGCACTTGTAGACAAAACATGACCT